CTCATATGGCACAATATCCCAGCAACAACCTGTTCCAGCCCACAAAGCATGCCATTTACCAATTGACGGCAAAGGGCAAGGATTTGATCAACGGTCTCGGTTCGCGGGGAAGAACGTCAGAAAGCGAGGTCGTCACACCCTCTCGTAATGCTATCGCGCGAGACTCCAACACCCAACGGCTCGACAAGATTCTCAACGACGCAGCACTCCGTCTGCTTTTCAGAGAAAACCTGCGCGAGACACATTGCGAGGAGAATCTTTCCTTTTACCTCGACGTCGACGACTTTGTTCGGAGCTGCAGGCAGGCGATTCGGGTCGCGCAGAAGAACCCCAACGCGAGCTCAATGGACGGCATCAAGGAGATCATGGCCCAGGCGTACGGGATTTATAACGCATTCCTTGCCCCCGGCTCTCCCTGCGAGTTGAACATTGACCATCAGCTTCGCAATAACCTGGCGACTCGGATGACCAAGGCTGTCGGACAGGACGTAGCCATGATCGACACTTTGCAAGAGGTCATGTCTTTGTTTGAGGATGCTCAGAACGCAGTTTTTAAACTGATGGCAAGCGTATGTTTATTGTTCCGACTGATGAACCGTGGAATGTGAGAAATTTTCATACTAACCCAACTTGTTTTTGCAGGACTCTGTACCCAAATTCCTGAGAAGCCCCAAGTACGAACACACCCTGAAGAACTACGACTTCGACTCAGTCACCGGTGGCGGCCGCGGCTTGGAGCGAAGCACGAGCCGATCGAACCGCAAATGAACAGATTTTTGACATTATGCAACTCTTCTTCCCCAAACTCAATATGAGACGGCATGTTTTTTGCACAATCTCGTCACAACAAGACCGATCGCGTTCCTAGGATCGACTCCATCGATACCGGCACACGCAGGCCGTTTGGCAGTTCTCGGCACTTTCCTCGAACCATAAGCTTTTGCATACGTGGTGGATGGTCTTTGATCCATTAACGGGCGGTGGGCAAGATTTTTCAGTTTTTCCAAAAGAGTGGCCCCCGACCAGGGTTGATCTTGGCCGCCATCTTGATTATTTTGGAAATGAAGGCGTTAGGGATGGAACTATTCTTAGAGGGAGAGACCCCATGAGTCGGCTAAACTGACTCCGCTTGCGCATGACCACGTCGTCATCATCACTTGCGGACTCGACTTTTTTTGATTCCTCCGTTTTTTGTTTTCTTCTTCTCTTCTAATTTCTCATTTTGTTTCAATCATAACTGGCTGGGTGGGGCGGACGATCATAGAAGGACGGCATGAAAGAGCACAGTCTCAACCACGACCCCCGAGACGAGCTCACGGCGACGGATGAACGATTTTGTTCGTCACAGAGTGGAGGACGAGGGCGATTCCGCTGCCAATTGGTATGCCGGAAGTGAATGTCGTGTGGACATTACGAAGCGAGTAACTTGTTGTGGGATAAGGGGGAGGACAAAAAGGGAGACGAGTGGTCGAGGAGCAATTCTGGCCCAACTGTACATATCTCAAAGCTCCGCGAACCGAGTGGGGGCACACAACGCTCGACCTTCCAACTCGCCTCCGAATGAAAGGAAAGCAAATGAAAGCGCTACCACAAAACCTTGCCATGCTCTCCCCTATGTGATAGGAATGCTTCAATGATGAAATCTGCAGAGCTCGAAATAGGATGAGAGAAAGGAGTTCAGACAGGAAGATGTGTTTACTCCTGGTCCCCCTTCCGTGTGCTTGTTCAACTGATCCCATCTATCTCTAGTCTCCGTCTTTGCCGAGTTTTCTCCCCTTCTGGACCTGAACGACTGGAATGCGCCACATTACCGGCGGCCGGTGGAAACATTCTTGGCGAACTCAGCGGACCACAACAAACACGGGCCCGGGACGACTCCACCAACATTCCCGGCCGCGAGTCCGGAGCCTCTCATTGGCCCCGAAGAACCAAATTTCACAACCTCTTAATCTTGCCGTGTTCCAGAGGCTCTCCTTTTTCGAATGGAAAAGTGAAAGTAGTCGTCGTGTTCCTGAGACATTTTCGTTTGGTTCCCGGCTTAGCATTTTCTTCTCCCTTTCCTCCGTCTTGCAAGGCTAAGCCTTTTCGTCAGCTTGTCTGGGTATCGCCGACCCCCTGAGCGTGCCGTTCCGGTGGATATCCAGATATCCAGAGTTATTTTGGTGTGTTTTGATGGGTTGTTTGTAGTGGCATGGGATTAACATAAGAAGGAGGCTCTTGAACCGTTTCTTGTGACACCTCTCTTTCCCTTTCATCCCTCACACACACACATCTCACATATAACCATCCCGCTAAAGAACTCTTTCGTTTGTTCGGAGGTTCCCCCCCCTTTCGTTTAATTTGCTTCAATTGGCCTCAGTCACTCTCTTGAAAAAATCCAAACATTGCAACTCACTCTCCTTAACCAACAAGAAAACCAAAAAACTTTTAAACAATCATTAACTAGCTCTGTTGCTCTCCGGACATCTTCACACGCTCTCTCCCTCTCTCTCTCTCTCTCGCTCAGCAAGTAACTCGATAACCGACAACAATCAACAACTACAACTCACACACACACACACTTCACACCGACCAACCAACCAACCAACAGTCAAGATGCAGATCCAGTCCGCCCTCGTCTCCCTCGCCCTCGTCGCCGGCACGGCCTCGGCCTACGAGCACGTCTACACCAACGGCACCTACACCATCACCAAGGTCTGGGACGCCGTCACGACATACTGCCCCCAGCCCACCACCCTCTGCTTCAACAACCGCACCTACACCATTGAGAAGCCCACCACCTTCATCATCCCCGACTGCCCTTGCACCCAGACCTACGTGAGTAAACCCAACCCCGCATTTCTCTATATTTCTTGCAAAAAAAAGCCCTGAGCCTTAATAGCTAACATGTTACCACCAAAAAGACCACCAACAAGTGCTCCGAGTGCCAACACCCAACCGGCTACGTCGTCCCCGCCCCGCCCACCCAGACCGACGTGCCCCCCGCCGTCCCCACCCAGACCGGCCTCATCACCTGCCCCGGCAGCCCCAACTGCCCGCCCGGCGCCTCGGGATCCGTCGCCGTCCTCCCGCCCGCGCAGACCGGCTCCGCCGGTGTCGTCTGCCCCGGTAGCCCCAACTGCCCTCCTGCTGCTTCCGGCGGTGCTGGCGGATCCGGTGGCGCTGGTGGTGCCTCTGGCGGTGCTGGCGGTGCCGGCGGTGCTGGCGGTGCCGGCGGTGCTACCCCCAGCCAGACCGGCGCCCTCGTCTGCCCCGGCAGCCCCAACTGCCCCGCCACCGGCACCGCTGGCACCAACGGCACCAAGCCTACGACCGTCGTCGTTGCTGGCGCCGAGAAGAACGCCGCTGCTGCTGGCGTTGCTCTTGTCGCTGGTGTCGTTGCCGTTCTGGCCCTGTAAAAGGGGAAATTTTCTTTTCATGGTTGGCAAAACATTCCCCAACAACCTTTCAAGGCTTTCCCCTTCCTTCCTAGAAACTCGACTTGCAACCGTTTTTTTTTCTTTCTTTTTTGGTCGAACCGTTTTGGTAATGGGGGGAGACTTCCAAAAGCGGAGAGCGGGAGAAACTTCAAAGACTCTGTGTTGTTGAGGGGGGAAAAGGGCAGAGGAGGGGAGGGGGGGGTGAAGTGAAGCCAGATTCGCCTGCGCCTTCTGCACTCCTGTACCCCTCCCCTGTTTCTTTTCCGTCTTCTTCATCTGAGTTGAAAGGGTTCTTTCGTTTTCTCCTCTTACAATCGTCATCTCTTCCTTGCGGACGGGTTTCGAGAAAAGAAAGAAACTTTTGCAGTTCTGGAATCCATGGGTTTGGTTTGGAAAACTTGCTGATCCAAGCTTTGGAAAAGTGTGTGGATCCAACATCGTTATTGTTTAGTGTGTGCGTTTTTCTTGTTTTTGTTCTTTTATCATCATCATCATCATCATCATCATCATCGTCATCATTGTTATCACGCCCCGTTATTGTATCACGCCGATTACGCCCAGAGATGAGGATACTTCTTAAATCTTGCATTGGGGAACTTAGACGGGAGGGGGGATGGGAGAGTAGAGACGGGAGTGGTTTGGAAGAGACAGCAGCAGCATTTCTTATGGCAGTATCCCGCTAGAACCCGGGTGAAAGACTGGGGGAAGGGCGGGATGACACTGCTTCAGTGGATGAAAAGGGGACGAATGAAGGATCTCCTTTGTAGAATCTTGTTTTTTGCTGGGTTCTGTCACAAGGGGGGGAGGGGAAGGGGGGTTCGATTGGTATCATTAACCCACTTCAGCATCATTATCACTCTGCATCCTTATCACCGCCATCATCCTTATCATCCTAATATAGGTGTATTTCTTTGGTACGCCTTTATATACTTTATCCTCCTTTTTTTTAGACTTTATAGAATTATCACTTTTGTTGTGTGTGTGTCATATCTGGGCCTATCATTCCTATTGCCGTTTGATGAATTTCTGCCAAACAGGATATATTGGACATATATTCTCTTTGTAATCATTTCAGGGCTTGTCTCTAGGGCTCAGACTTAGGTCAACTTCCCTCTAGGCCGACAGCCGGACTTGGGAGACCCAATTGCCCATCCTTGACGTCACTTGTAGATGATTAACTTACCCTTCATCTTTCTCGGACAGCGTCAGGACCATGGGCGGTAAGTTGAGCAAAGGAGGGAAAAGAAGGACAGGGCATGAATCTTGAGGCTGTCGATGAACCTCGAAATTCTTTTGCCTATTTGTCGATGATTGTCGAGCTCAGCCTGCGTGATTGGGGATGAGCGGAATGAACCTAAATGAGTAATGACTCTGGTCAAGTCTATACCATCGATAGCTGTGACGGGTATTTAATGATGCGACTGGAACACTATGGGCTCGATTTCAGTTGCAATGGACTCGCAGCATCTGCAAGCCGAGGAAAAATCTCTCTACTTTACAAGACCCGAGCTGGGCAGACACGATCGTATTCACTTGTACAACTCAAATTTTGATGAGCCTGTTATCATTGCGAAAGATACGCTACTCTAAAAGTATAAGTTGATTGCTCTTGTCGCTAAAGTACAGACCTTTGATTTTCTCTGCCTCGGAGAACGGTGACCCATAGAGCAATCGTTGCCCTTTCCCGTCACTTGGCCTGAAATTGAAGAATCCCACACGTTCGTACCTGTAGGATTTTCGAAGTTCCATGTCTCCAAAGTCCTCGATGAAGTCGCCCAAAGGTTTCAGTATCAGACCGGCAATCTCGACGCCCTTTGCATTGACGGGAGGTTCCTGGGTACACATCAGTGGTAGAATGAACAGCTCCTTCGGGGGTGAACCGTCCTGATGAAAGTCGAAGACGAAAGGATTATAATCCAGTCGCTCCGACTTTCCATCAAGACTCAGCGAAACCTCGTCGTTGGACATGTCTGATACTTTGAGATTATAGACGCTGCCGCTCATGCCGATATAGCCTCCGAGTGGTATGCGGTGTCCTGCGGGAGTATCGCTGTGGGCACTATGGTAGAAATGACGCGCGAGATGTAAGATACTCTCATCGCTGTTCATTATGGCCTTGAACGAGACCTTGCCTTGCACGGAAGCCCACGACCAAGATGGCGCGGGATGACTAGGTCGGGGCTTCTTTTCCGCCACAGGGTTCAAGCTCCAGCAGATTTGTCGGGCGATGTGTGTGTTCCAGATACCGGAAATATATCTACTCAAAGAGGCATTAGAAAAGATGCTTGCCATTCCATTCAAGGCCGCAAGCTTGTCCTTGTCGTAGGTCAAGCTACAGTCCGAGTACTCCTCAACCAGGTGCTCCCAGACAGTTGCAAAAGTTTCTTCATTCTCTGGCAAATCCTCTTCCTCTTGGGGGCGCATTCTGCGAATTCGAGTGACGCCTTTCTCGCGCTCGACCACTTCGTCGTCTGGTGCCACCGGTATGCCGTCGGGCAAGCTCTCACAGGCAAGACGCCGTCTGCATTTCCAAAAGACTTGGTCTTTACCGAAATGAAGAGTCCTTTTGGGCAGTAGGCGTTCTTGAAAGACCCAGCCGCGCTTGTACAGCGGAGCTCTGTTGTAGTCGTTCAGGATGGACGTGTGATCCCAGACGGTGTATTCGCCAGACGGGATATCCGTCCTCTCTGAGTAAACAACAAAGGATTCCAAGACGGATGGGTCTCTCACTCTAAAGAGCCCACCGTCGGGTCCCTCAGAGTGTGCTGCAACGATGTTGCAGGTGGAGTTGGAGTACACGTCGTCCATTCTGGAAGATTCTCTCTTCCAGTCTAATGGGCTATCTTGAAGGATGCATAGCGAGTCGATCCAGATGTGGCGAATATTGAAGTGATAAGCTAGCGCAATCGCATCGCGGAAAGTCTTGGGGAGACTCTCTATAGCTGTGTAGTTCTGGAATCCGGGGAGCGTGTCCGATGTAAGCTGTACGAATGGTGAAGAGCCCCAGCGGTGACTCAGCGTGAGATAGCCTCCATAATTGGGAGGAGTTTTAAGCCTCTCGGTGGCAATGATCTTCCACAAGTAACTGCCTGGGTCTCCAATATCAACTAGCCTTGAAGGTAGCCAGGTCGAATGGCTGTAAAAGACTCTGCATTCGGGGTGGTTTCGGACGCAGTCGTTGAGCCACCTAATCATTGTTCCAAAGGTTTCTCGAGAGTCCATGCGTGGGCTCAACCGCGCAGGTGGCTCGTCATCTAATATCTCATCAGTCATGTCAGTAGTAGGCTGTCGAGTTCCGAGTCCCCGTACTGAATTCCAATCGGGACAATATAACTTACCGGGGCTACGTTTGTGCAGATTAAAACAAACCAAGTCATCCAGATCATCCTCTCTCCACGCGCGTCCCGTATACTGTTCAGCACTGGCGAAGAACAACCTTACGGGATCGGGTCTCGGATGAAGAATGAGATCCTCATTCAGAACAGTCGAAATGCTCGGGCCCGCAGAGTGGCGCGCAAAGCGTTTACAGAAATAACATCCCTTTTCGACTGCCTTGGCGAGATCCTCTGATGATTCGTGATGCTGATTGCGACGTCTTCGACGGAAGTCGTCGGCCTTGACTGCGTCTTTGCTGAAAGCATTCTTGCATGCGGTGCAGAGAACAGTGTCATTTGAGTGGGTGAAGGTTGGACGATGGATCTGACGATGTTTTGGGGGTGGGTTGTCGTCGAATTGTATAGTTCGTTCCGTAGATCCGTCTCCGCTGGATGATTGATTTGATTCTTGAATCATTTTAAGATATGACTAGGTTGGTTTTCGGATAAAATCTAGCACAGATAACGGACAGATTGTTTGTTGTCCTGAATTATACACAGGTGTTGATGGACACCATATACGCAGACCGCCCCTTTACTCGCAGAGTCTGTCGTGAGTTTACAAAGGACGCTGAGATTGGAGGCAACTCATGTGGGTAGAGAAGTCCGACTGGGGAATTTTAAAGATCAAGTGCAAAGATTTTTCTTGAATAGAATCTGTCATTTGATAATTGACGATGGGATCGGAGAGAAGTATCGAAAGCAACTGGACGTGGAATTGAGGAGGTACAATTCCCGGTCGTATACAGTGCGGATGACTCGGGTACACCAGCGACCGGCACTGTCCCAACTACACTGCCTGAATTCGAGGTATCCACAACTTCAACCTCACCCATTCATCAGATCAATTTCTCATCCGAGGTCTGGTGCGTAACGTTCCTCACCCAGATATACTGAAGATTGAAACAGGAAACTCACTGTTGGAGTTCAGATCAAAATTCTGAAGTCAGTGTCCAGGGATCTTCGGGCATTCTCGCCTTAGCCACCCCGTTACAAGACATGGAATGAAAGCCCAGCCGATTATCTACGAACCTCTCAGCATACTTCGAAGACCGGCGGTCAGCCAACATGGATGCCCATGAAGACGATGGCGACATCAAGTTGCAAAAGGCCTCATCAGAACTCATCGCAGAGTTCTCTCGTTCGCTTCCGCTCTTCCTCCGCAAACCCGATGGCAAGACCCTCCGCGCCCGCGTCAGGGTGTCGGAGACCTCACGTCTGACTTCAAGCGTAAATACCCCCTGCACTCAATCTCATTTCCTTCCACGTCAAAACACATTGAATCCATGATACTGACACATCTCATAGCTCCTTGACCCGTTCCAAGAACTCCCTCAACTACTGGATCCTCATCTCCCAGAATGGCTTCCCCTCCTTGCATCCACGTATCTGGAACACCTCAACACCCACTCCCGGGCCCGGGCCCGGCCATCGGCTTCAACCCGCTCCCAGCTCCTGGAGCCCCTGAGCCTCGCCATCGCCAAAATCATCTACACCTTCACCAAGATCCGCGGCGAAAAGGTCATCGTTCGATTCCTCAACGTCGAGTCCCGCCACATCGAGCCCCTCCTCTCGGCTCTTGAGGTCTCAGAGCGCGCCTCGTCGACCACACGCCCCGCACTCAACCCTCTTTCTTCACCCCAGTCATCCTCCCCAGCGGCGACATCGTCATCGGGTGCCACCGCACAGTGGTCCTGGGAAGAGCGCTACCTCGTCCTCCTCTGGCTCTCCCACCTCCTCCTCGCTCCTTTTGACCTTTCGACCATCTCCTCCGCCTCCGCCGACCCGGACCTCACCCTCCCCACGATCCCAGACTTTGACTGGCCCGATGGTCTTCCGGGAATCACCGTCCGCATCCTACCCCTCGCCATCAAGTACCTCGCCACCTCTGGCAAAGAGCGTGATGGCGCCCGCGCCCTGCTCGTCCGCATCGCCATGCGCCGCGACATGCAATCCCAAGGCGTCCTCTCCGCCCTCGTCCGCTGGTCCCTCGCCTCCCTCAAACCTTCACCATCCTCCGACGCCACGACACCGGCACCGCCGCAGCCGTCCTACTTCTACATCGGCGTCCTGTCCTTCCTCGCCGGCGTCCTCCGCTCCTCCATAAACACCTCCGACATGGACGCCTACCTATCGCCCATCTTCCTCACTGCGCATGCAGTCGCCTCCGCTGAAGACGCCCAGGACACCACGGACACCCCGTCCGTCTCAACCGCCATTCGCTCCGTCGCTGTAGCGCGCAAGATGCTCATCAAAGTCATCCGCTCCGTCACCGTCCTCCTCCTGCGCAGCAACAGGTCCCCGTCAGCCCAGCAGAGCACCGATGAGCTGGTCGAAATGTCCATAGGCTACCTCCTAGAATCCCTCGCCGACAACGACACCCCCGTCCGCCTGGCCGCCTCCAAAGCCCTCAGCATCGTTACACTCAAGCTCGACCCGGACATGGCCTCTCAAGTCGTCGACGCCGTCCTGGACTCCCTCAACCGCAACGTCTTTTGGACCCGCGACCCGGGCACCTCCAAAGGAGCCTCTTCTGCTGCCACCACCACCCGCGATCTCACAGCCGTCGACCCCCTAGAATGGCACGGCTTAATGCTCACTCTCTCCCATCTCCTCTACCGCCGCTCCCCGCCCGCCTCTCAACTCCCCGCCATCGTCCACGGCCTCCTCCTCGGCCTCTCGTTTGAGAAACGCAGCACCTCGGGCGGCTCCATCGGTACAAACGTCCGCGACGCAGCCTGCTTCGGCATCTGGGCCCTCGCACGCCGCTACACCACCCCGGAACTCCTCGACGTCCCCACCGCCGCCGTCGTCGCGGCACGCAGCTACCATGGGGCCGCATCCAACGTCTCCATCCTACAAGTCCTTGCCACAGAGCTCACCGTGACAGCCTCCCTCGACCCAGCAGGCAACATCCGCCGCGGCGCCTCGGCCGCCCTGCAGGAGCTCATCGGGCGGCACCCGGATACCGTCGAAAAGGGCATATGGGTCGTGCAGGCCGTAGACTACCACACCGTCGCCCTGCGCTCGCGTGCGGTGCACGACGTCGCGCTTAGCGCCACCAAACTTTCCTCGCAGTACGGCGCCGCTCTGCTGGACGGCCTGCTCGGCTGGCGGGGGATAGGCGACGCCGACGTCGTCTCGCGGCGCGTGGCTGGCGCCTCGTTTGGTACGCTCACGCTGGAGCTCGCGCGGCAGACCGGAATCGGTTCTGGCGAGTCTGGCGAGTCTGGCGAGTCTGGCGGCGATGACGTTGCGCAATTTACGGCGTCCATCGAGAGGGTGCTCGCGCGCCTGCGTACGCTCCAGACGCGCCAGGTCGACGAACGACATGGTCTCGTGCTCTGCCTCGCCTCCGTCATGGATAAGTTCCCCGAGCTGTTCGCCGGCAAGCCGGTCGATAGCGTCACTGTGATCGCTCACCGCATCATCGGTGAACTGGAGGCACTCTTCAAGGAATTCCAGACAACGACGTATCGTCGACCAGAGCTAGTCGCCGAAGCGTACAACCGTTTACTCATTTCGTCATTTCCTATCCTACAGGCTACTTTATCACCAAAAGACGCAATCATCAATCTAGAGCCAGGCTACAAGGTCGTATCAACAGACAACACCGAAACCCTACTCAAAACCGTCAGGACAATCGACAACGCCCAGGACATCAACAACAACCCCGACGGGGTAGTGAGTCTAGTCTCGACATTTACCCCCATCGTCAGCGCAGGCCTCGCCCGCACAGAAAAGGAGGCCGTCGCCGCGTCCTCGGAAGCGGCGCTTGTCCTCCTCGTCTTCTCGCCCGTGCGAGAGCGCAGGCACATCGTCACGGAATGGGCCGGCGCCGTGCGGCAGCGGCCGACGTCGCGCGCAGCCAGCGACACGGGCACGCTTTTTGCGCTGACGATGGCGTACCCCGTCACGACCACCTTTGGCGGCGGCGACGGCGACGGCGACGGCAGCAACAGCGTCGTCTGCGACACGATCCTCGCGCGATGGGCCGGCGACAACGACATTGACACGCGCGTGGCGATCCTGCAGACCCTCTCGCAGAGCGGTTTGCTACGGGACCAGGCGCTCCTGTTCCTCGACCTGCTGGCGGAGGGCCTGAACGATTACACGACGAACGCGAGGGGCGACGTCGGGTCGCACGTCAGGTTGGAGGCGCTCAGGGCGAGTAGGTCTTTGTGGACTATGGCTCTTGGCGTGAATCGCTCTCACTCTACGGAGCATGATAATGAGGGCATTACCAGGGGAACCGACAACGTCAAGAAGATGGAATGGCTTCCCGCGGCGGTCTCGAAGCTCTTCCTACGTACGCTGCGTCTAGCTGCGGAGAAGCTGGATCGCGTACGGACTGAAGCGCATGCGGTCCTTGCTTTGACTGTTGAGCCTAGGTAAGGAACACCCTTCCCCCCCCCCCCCTTTCTTTTGACTATCTTGACAGTCGTCTCACGAACGGCGAGGGAACGAAGAACAAAAAGGACCCCGGCTAACAAAGAAAACACACAATAGCTTCGCGACAACCTTCACAAAGCTCACATTTTCATCCAAAACCTACTTCCAAACGCTGCTCAACCTCTACGCGACAGAAAACAGCCTGCAGCCGCCCATCGCGGAGCCAGCCAGGGCCGATGCCGGGGCCTGGATGGCAGAGCTGCTGGCGGGCTACGTCACATCAGCCGACACGGGCAACGAGGACCTGGTCATCGCCTCCCGCGCGGCGCTGGCCGACTTTTGCGCCGCGTCGCCGCGGAACCTGGATGCCGTCTGCGTGGCGCTGGTGAGGAACGTCAAGACCAGGCAGACGCCGGGCCAGAGCCAAGG